ATATATAAAGCAGAAGTTAGGCTTGTACAACACACGTGGTTCGGGCGTAAAAAAATTACTTTTAAAAGAAAAAATTAAATTTTAAGTTTTATGATACTTAGATCTGGCCCTTCAAAATTGAACGGTCTCTATTCAATCTTGAGGCATAAGTTTTTCCAATATATAGAAAGCTTATTTTGAAAAAAAAATTTCAAAATTATTTTATGGGTTGTAAAGATTACATTCCAAAATTTGAGATCCAAAAAATTTCTTTAGCATATAGTTGGCCCGAGGGAGGAAATGTATAATGTCTTTATTAGTTGCAATAACACACGGATCAAAACAAAAAGATGGAGATAACTTTATTCATCATATAATATATAACATTTATTTAAGAGATGGATGAAATTAAACATAAATAAAGAAGGGAAAGGTTTATATACCCCTCTATCCAATAGGTATAAAGTAAATCGGTAAAGTAAAAAAACATAGAGAGAAGAAAAATGAGTCTATTCTATGAGGTATGAGGTGGGCACTAATATAACTGAATGAACTAACAGTCATAATATAACATACAAATGGATTGTAAGTTCCATTGGATATATGAACCTGCAACACAAGATCCTAATAAAATTTTAAATTTCAATTTATTTCCTTTTAATTACTCATTTAAAAGTAGATCTTAAATTCTAAGTAAATAATATACTACTAAATAGGTTTTTTTATTTTAAATTTTATGGATCAACTATACAGTTTGGTCTTTAAGGGAACATATTAGGCAATACTTTTACATGTAGATGGGTGATGTAATATAGTGCGAAAGTTGAATACCATATATTTCTTGGTTTTGTATAATACAGTAAGCAGATTGCACAAGGTATAAGATAAATACGTGTTTACACGCTTGATTTTGTTATATAATATACTTGCAGACTGCACAAGTATAAGATAGATATGTGTTTACATGTAATTTTGAAATTGGCTATAGACTAATCAAAGTCTGATCTATCTAATATCGTGTTTAAAATTAATATTTAAAGAGTCGAAAGAGATGGGTTCTGTCAAAATAAGATCTACAAAGACATCAGCCTCAAAGACCGACTCTTTGAGGATCGACGACTGAGTTGGTTTAGGTATTGTAAAATCTGAAAGAAAAAAAAAAAAATAGCATAACTATTAAAAAAATAAAACTAAATAATAATAAAATGGAAAACGTTTACATAGAGCCTAGGCTCTAAACAATCAAATTAGAGCCTACATCAAAACATTCACTAGAAGAGGTTGTTTTGATGCCAAAATATCATCAAAATTGATCATATCGACATCAAGATGCATAGACATGAGAAAAAAATGGATTTCAAGTTTTGGAAATAGTGTATCTTGTAACGCATTTTTGGACCATCAATTTTCAAGATTTTCAAGTTTTCATAGATTTGCTCGATTTGCCCTATTTTTTAAACTTTAAATATTTATAACTAAAGCTAAAAATATAATTTAAGGCTACCACCAAACTTTCCAATTTTAAAATCATATTTCTCGACACCATTTGAAGGTGGGCTCTAATTTGATTGTTTGGAGTCTCGGCTCTAAATAAACCACACCCTAATAAAATTAAATAAAGCAATAAAACAAAATAAAACAAAGAAAATAAAGCAAACTATAAAGAATGGACCTAGGCACCCATGTGCAGTACCACCTTACAGAGATTTTTTTTGGATTTGAGACCTAATGTATTTTTTTATGCCAATTTTGATAAAAAAAATCTCAATTTGACAAATTTTGTAATATTCACTATTTTTTTTTGGAATTGAGACCTAATGTACTGTTTTTTATGCCAATTTTGATAAAAAAAACCTCAATTTGACAAATTTTGTAATATTCACTCTCTAGGAACCTGCCTATTTTTGATGATTTGATTTCTTAAGCTAATGATTTGGGATTAGAATATTTGACTTCTTAAAATAAGATATCATGGATCTTTGACATATTTTTGGACGGTTCTGGGTTGGACTTATTAGAAATTCAAAAGTCATGAGTAAA